CCTGAGCCTCCTCTCCTCCCCCTGACCCCCCCCAGCCCCCTCAGCCTCTCCTCACAGGACTTGCCCTCCAGTCCCTTCCCCAGCCTCGTTGCTCTCCTCTGGACCCACTCCAGCCCCTCTTGCAGTCCTTTCTTGCAGCGAGGGGCCCAGAGCTGCACACAGGGCTTGAGGGGAGGTCATCTTCATTCGATCTGGTTGTAACCGCTTCCATCTCCATCCCTGCGTCTGCCTCTCAAAATGAGTGTGGGCGGGTGTTCTCCAGCAGTGTGAGTACAAAGAGAAGAGTAAATATATTTTGGCCAAGAAAACAGAGGCCCGATTCCTGAATGTTTGAATTTGGAACTTGCCATTTGCAAGTGTGTAAGCACGATTCATCCTACAGCCACATCTTCCCCCCCGGCCAATTAGAGTGACCCATGTGTGTGGGGATGGTGATGGGGTTACACGTTGTGACCAGTGGGAGGGAGATGTGTTCATTCCCACAAGCTACATCTCCCCTGGGACAATCAGAAAGTGACCCATGTGTGCGGGGTTGAGGATGGAGTTGTATTTCGTCCCTCCCTGTGAGAATGGGAGAGGTTGAGACACCTCTTGGGGGTTGTTGCAATCATCACCATTATTCTCACACAAGATGTCTTGTGACAACCTCTGCTGCACAGCAGGCACAGAGACTGTGGTTGCTTGGCATGGACTGCCTGGGCTGTGCCTGGTAGAGAAAGCAGCAATCAGTCTTAAAAAAGCAGATAAGCTTTCCCACCATGTCTCCTTCAAAATGGAAAACAAACAACTAGCATGAGATGTGCAAGAACATGAGCATTATAAACTTTCTGACCTTTCAAACTTATAAGAAGGGCTTTACCTCTGCTTTTTTTTGAAGTTTCACCAGATGTTTTGGAAATAAGATTGATTGCTGCATGCATTTATGAGCTGATATTCAAATACATACATGTATCAACATCTACAATTCACTGCTTCGATGTAAGTCATGTCCCGTCATGGGTGACAGAAAGTATACTTTGTTCATTGATCTTTTTCCTTTTCTTTTCGTTTTTCTTAAACTAATGGTGTGACTTCCCACAACACCATCAGTCGTGTTCAAGATGTTCTGGGTAAAGAGGCCCATGGGACAGTAAACCAGCTTCATGGTGCTGAGATAAAGGGTGTTCATGGTGAGTGTTAGACGTTCAGTTAAGTGATACATGAATGAACTTGAAAGAAATGTCAGATGGAACCTGCTGTGGTGGGTACAGGACCTGAACAACAAGGGGAGATGATGGTCCATGTGAGAAGAGACCCTAGCTGATGTGGACACAGGTCTCAGGGATGTGCAGGTCCCCAATCACTCCTGCAATGCTCCCACAGGGATTATTGTTACAGGAGACTGGACTACTCTGGATCCATGGACCTTCAGCTTCAGGATCAAGGCAGAGATGCGCTGAGAGTAAAGGCAGGTGCCAGACCCGTGACTCTGCACAAGGCTGAACATCCAGCAGGGAACCAAAGGGTGGGGAAGCCAGGGATGGAGTGCCGAGGGTGATCTGCCTCCTTGGAATGGAAAGGAATGAGTAAACCAGCTGAGGTCACAGCTGCTGACACTCACACACACACATGCACGGACAAACGTGTGTTTAACCACGCAGGGCAGAGGTTTGCATTTGCAGAAAGGTTGAGGTGCCTAGCTGTTGACAAAGAACAGTGTTGGAATCCTAGGTTGTCTGAGAACTTTCTCCCTTCTGGAGCACACTTCTGAGCAGTTCCAGGTTGTGGTGCCCGAGACCCATTGGGGAGATCACCTTGAGGAGGAGCTGGACAGCCAGCCTGGGAGACCTACTTCCCTCCGATTCGCGGGGGCTGTCTGTGGGGTCAAATCCTCCAGAAGGGAAGTAGCAGGGACAGAGGCTGTGAGGCTGGTGGGGAGGTTGATGCTGTGGGGCTGGCAGCAGAGAGGGAGCTGAGTGGGGACTGCTCGGCAACGCTCAGTCCCACTGCAGCTGAGCGAGGGGGGATTCCATCCCTCTGTGTGATGGGAACTCGAGGCCTCCTGTGTAGGCTTGAAAGGCAGCCATGGCTCTGCCCACCCAAGGGTCACACCACAAGGCACAGCCCTGTGCATGAAGCCAC